GAGAGAGAGAGAGATGTTAAAGCAGTAAATGTCCTCTAGAAGAAAGCTTTACAAATAAATAACAACATTAAAGAAATTGTTCATAAACATTACAGGAATAGGTATTTCTTCTTTAAAAACTGGTTCTTTCTTTCTTTTCCAAATTCACTCATATTAGGAAGTTCATTTTTGGTGACAGTCTTTTGATGACTACTAAAAGCCTTCACCTTAAAAGTTCCAGCTAATTATTTTAGATTATTCAGTAATATTAATATAATAATGAGATTATTCGTAATTACAATAATACAACAGATTTCGTGGAAGTTGGTTTTTGTCGAAGAAGTCCTCACTATGTATTGATTGGTACCGACAAGTGGTTATGTGGAAGGTTTGTTGGTTTGGGAATACTTACTTTTCTTTTCTTTAAGGTAAAATAAGTGTCGTCGAATAACACAGGTAGAATCGTTTACAGGATTCATCTGTAGATTCTCGTAAAAATGTTTGGGAAGATTGGGACTGGCCCCAGGTGATTGACTTACCTGTTTATATGAGGGGAACGTTCCTACAATGTACATATTATCTTCTAATGGATTTCCAATAAATTGCAATAAAGTTACAATCGAAGAAGCTTTGTTTGCTACAATAATTTGCATGGGAATATAAGCTTGTTTATTCAACAAAGAACACTGTAAGCTTTGTTGCTACAATCCAGACATTACAGTTAAATTTGAATAATAAATCAATAGCAGATAGATCAGAATTTAGTTCACGGGTAAAAGTTGAATAAATGATTCATCACTTTCAAAGTATTATTATTGTTGTTTTTGTGGAATGAATCACTTATGTAAAATATTCAAATTAAACAACTTTTATACATTATATGGATAATGTTATATCTACATTCAGATATTTAAAAGTACTTCACTTTTTCCCGACAATAAATTAAAAAGACGGGAAAGTGTGATTAATCATTCTTACAGTATTAAAGCTATCCAGTATAAAAAAGAAAAAGGAATGTTTTATACGACGAAAAGAGTAATCGTTGTCATCTGATGAGCACTTTCTCCTATATGATGTCCAGTTTAGTGAAATTCTAAAAAATTAATAGAGCAATGAAATGTATGTTTATCTGCTAGCGATAATATTGTCATTTGATTCCTTTTGAGGAGATCCATTCATTTTTATTTTTTACTAAAAGCCACTAAAGTATACAATTGATGACTAAAACAATGCAATCCTTCTAGAAGGAATGTATCAAATCTGAACACATAGTGATGAAAGCATTTCAAACAGCAGAAAAGAGTGAAATGGAAGTTTGTCGTTGAAATTGTCGAGAAATTCTCGTCTGTCTTCGAAGTCATCATTTATTATGACAATGACAACAGCAACGAGTGATAGCGTGTTCAATCAACGAGACAATGAAATTAGCCTGAATTGATAGTACTCATCAGATGCCTTACTCATGATCACTTAATTCTCCTTTCTAGGTAAGGTAAAGTTTAATTTACTGCTCGTGCATATAATTAATGAGAATACATTTACAAATAACGCATGCTACCAAGAGGCTAATTAATGGAACCTTCGGCTCAATTCATAGGCCATTCATTAGTCATATATTAAGCTTAAACTTATATATCTTTTTCCCTTAAACAGAATCATTTCTTCCCACTGAAACTTCTACTGCAACTTATAAAACCAATAACAAGAGAAGACGAAATTCTCTTCAGATGTAACAAATGATACTGTAAGCAGCTATTGCCCAAAAGCTAGTAAAAGTAGTTTACTTCCGAAGCATTATGTGTTTGTATACTTTCATGATGGGGTATGATAGATGTAGTTATGCTTCCAGAGGTAAGAATTTTAGATCTGATCGTTGTTGATAGCGTAGAAGATGCTAGTGATGGAAGGAATGAAAGCAGTAGTTTCATTTTCTTAATAGATTGGCTTGGGTAAATATACTTCGATTCTATCTTAATCGATAGACTAGAATATGGTGACAAGATTCAGGATGTGAGATTAGGGACGCTTTCCTAGACATGTGACAAAGATTTTTCCTTCTTTTTGAACGTTTAATATTTCTATTTTAAATGCTCAACGAAAAATGCTAACTTTTGAAGAATTTTTCATAAATTGTTATTTATTAAAAACATTTCAAAAGAAAAAAATAAAAAAAAAGGAGTGATGTGACAAAAATGAAGTGAAGTGCAAACGGTTGCTCCCATTTAGGCGAATTCGCAAAACTATTTCCTTTGTTTTCTTCTTCTTGTCCTTCTTCCATTTCATTATCACTCATTTTACTCGTACTTTTCCCGTAACACTTGATTTCATCATATTGTCATGTGTTGTCAACTTATGTATCATCACTTTAACAAATTTCGATCAATTTATGAATTAATTCTTAATTTTTTTTTTTTTGTTTAAATCAACCATAAACTTACAATGGCTTCTTTATTCCCTGAAATAGTACTTCATATCTCACTCCAACCAAGACGATATACGATACTTGTAAATGGAATTATCAGTTATCGTGAGATTATGTACTATCTTAAAACTCCTAACTCTTTCTGAAACATTGCAATGTCATCGGCAATTCAATTATGTTTCATATAACTGAAACTGAACGAACTGAAATTAAGAATTTATTATGTCACATTTACATTTAAATGTTACGTGAAGGAATTGAACTTTATTAAAAAGAGTATCCGATGAAGTAATAAGTTACAGGATAGAGGAACACGTTGCTGGTTCATAAGATTTTTGATGAAATGGCAGTATGCTTCGATAACTTGGAAGCTTGTATGAGCTCATTTTATTCCTTCCCTTTGCTATTTAAATCTTATTAAAATTATGATTTGAAAAAACAATTTTATAAATTAACACCAAGTTAATCCTATAAGAATTTATACCATAAACATCTTCCACAAGTCATAATATCTTCGTTCAAAGTTATTCTAAAATAATTATCAAAATTTAAGGTTTGAAAAGTTGTATTGGATGGCAATGTATTCATGCTGATTTCTGTAATGGTCTTACAAACAAATATGTATGTTTACCAATAGATAGTCGTTTCCTATCGTAAGTGATTACTTTCATTTCTTTTTCAGATTTGTACAAAGTCTAAACGTTTCGAATTAAATTTTGAGTATTTTCTTTAGATGAAAAGGACGGAAAGTATTGAAAAGAAAATTTATTAATGTGACATAATGAGGTTTGTTACGGAGAGTGGAGTATTTTCCAGTTCAAATCAGGAAAAAGGAAATTCTTAAAACTTCCGGTTCGATCCAAGCTCTTCTTCTTTTTTTTTTTTGGTTACAAAAAATTCTTCATTTAGTTTTAATCTTATCATTTAGAAAGTTATTTCTTTTAGTTTCCAAAACAAATTACTTGGCATATCGTTGTTATCAGCCAAGTTCTTATCATTTTAGATTGATAATGCTTGGATCATTTCTGATTGTTCTATTATGCTGTTCAATGCTAGTTGCATGCTATGTATGCAAATTGCTACAAATTAGTATACGACATTCGATTCCAACAAATTATAAAGTAACATTTCCAAATCGAATACCATTTCAAACATCATCCTCCATACATGTTTAATTAATAATGTGAAATCAAGACAATTAACATTGATTATTGATTGTTGTTCATTTTTTTAATAAATCTTTTCATTCATATATGAAAAGAAACCAAATGATGCAAAAATAAATTGAATATGCAAATGAATCGTTGTAATTCATTTGATAATATTATAATATTCGTTATGAATTTTATTAATTATATGAGCATTTTATTGATAAAATGTATGAATTTGTGAACAAAGATATATAGCTTTCTTTTTTTTTTTAAATATTCTATTTAAATGATTAATTGTCAATTCTGACCGTGGCATAATCAATAGATGCTTGAAATGCTTGATGATGAACTGGAGGGAGTGGAATAATCCGGATATTCTTCTTTATTTCCGGAACATGCAAGGTATAATCCAGAAGTGCTACTTTTGCCCTTGGTCCAAAACTAACACGTCGTGCTGTTCGAGCTAACCAATTCGTGCTGGAAAAATCGACTTTATAAGCATGCAATAACTATTTTTACGTTTTTGTTATTCAGTTAATTATCATAACAATAATTATCATATGAAGTGATCGGAAAAAATCTATAAGAAAGGGATGGCTTAAGTTAGCTCTGTTTCGCCTTCCGTTTAAATCGCCCTTTTAATCAGTTCAATACCATATCCTTGTTTGAGAAATTTATAAAATTTATATCAGTTTAAAATGTTTTAAATGTTTTTTTTTTTTTTTTTGCATAATCGAACCATTCACGAAATTAAGTTGCAGTTGGTCATCTGCGAATAACAAGGCATTAATTATAAATGTGTTTCAAAATGTCACCAACTTGCTGACAATTTCTTCAGTGATATTCTTGAACAGTCTCACATGTAGTGAAATGAGTATTAATAACAGGATTGAAATACAATGAAAAATGTTTGGCACAACCAACAAAATTACTGTCCACAGAGCGATTGCATTAGATGTATGCTGACATGTCACCTGAATTGCAAATGTCACCAAATATATTCCGTAACAGTGGTTTATTTGCAATTGATAAACATATTATTTAGCATTATTGGTATTGTTGGATAAATTTCAAGTTACTATAATTAGGCTTAAATAGGAATCATAAATAGAATGAACACATTTTTACTGATTAGAAATAAATTTGATTGCTTCTGCGGCATTGAAATTTATTTTCTATTTGTAAAAAACACTTTTTTTTCTACAAGAAATTGTAGAGATAATTGAAAAAATTGTTGCTGAAAAAGGAAAAAGTTAAGCGGCTAAGGTAGTGTTGTATTATCAGTTGTATTATCAGATATTATCAAAATGAATAATTGACCTTTTTTTTTAGCCAATACTAGCCAAATACTAGCTTTGTAATTTTCAATTAATCCTATCCATTTGTGTGGATATTTCCTAGCATAAAATATTTGGTTAAATTATAGAAACTTATTGTGACAGTTAACTATCAAATAGTGACCGTTTGTGTGGACACTTCCTAGCATAAAATATTTGGTTAAATTATAGAAACTTATTGTGACAGTTAACTATCAAGTAGTGACCGTTTAGTGCAAATTTAGCTTAAAAAAGTTGCTTCAAAGATTCATTTTCATTTGATTTAAAAATTATTTTTGTGGTTGTATAAGATAAGAAAACTCCAAAATTAGCATAATCTTGTGAAAAATTCATTTTTTTTCCACCTTCCCATTTTTCTTCAAAATCTGATCGACTACATAGGGACTGATTAAGACTGAATAGTTTTTCGACAGTTTCTCGTCTCGTGTAGTTGTGGGAAAATTAGAATTATTCCTCTTAGTTGGTTATTTTGAATTCCAAAGTTTGAGTCACTAATCTCATTGCCTTTTCATCTTACAAAGCTTTTGTTATCTGTTATTCTGAATTTATTTTTTTTGAAAAAAAAGAACCCATTCAAATTTTATTTTTTACTCAAGATCTAAAATCATTTGCATGATGAGATAAAAATTATCAATGGAAAGAGTAAAGTAATGAGTATCAAAATGATACGTAATGTAATATTTATTTGAGAATTTATTTAATAAAAGTGATAAATTTTAGGAAAGTATAAAAATGCAATTACTTTTATGAAACTAAATATCTTCAATTTTCCTCAAATTCATAATGATCTGTAATCATTTAACAAAGCTCTTTTCGTTTAATTACTATTGATTTTTGCTATGTTATTGATAGCAATAGACATAAACTTGAAAACGTTGCTTATTAATTAGTAATCGAAATCTGCTCCTTCATTTTGAAACCAAGATAGGATAGTAATTAGTTCTTGAAAGTCAAATAGGACAGATCTTGAAGATAAGAAGGACAGAAGGACAGAAGGACTTCCTTCCATGCATATGCAACATTGAAAGTTTGAAAGTACCTTTAGCACTTTGTTAACGAAAGTCAGTACAGTGGGATGTACCTGATGATGATATGAATGTTAATGTCATGTTTAAATAAAATAAGCACTAAGCTTATTATCGAATAGCCGAATTTCGTTTAATTAAAAATTCAATGCGATAAATATGAATTAACTGTTCGAGAATTATTTACCCACAAATTTGATTCTTCCATATGGTACCTCTTCTATTAACTATCTCTTTCCCTTCATTTGAAATAAAAACAAAGGAAAGCTTCCAATGTTTAGAATTGAAAATGAGCAAATCACTAAATCCTATATGATATTACAGGTTAAAATATCATAGCTTACATTACTTGTCATATTAAGCGATTGCAAAATAAACCAAACACAAATAATCACAACCAATCGAATGATTTCTGGTATATAATCAATGATTAAATACTATAAAAATAATTCGAATAAGAAGTTTGTTTTTGAAATTAGCAAGAAAAAAAATGTCTCAAAATATGTATAGAAGTTGGTCCAATTACTGTAATTAGCTAAATTTACATATCGTCATCACAAGAATTCAACTTTTCACTATTTTGGAGAAAGAAGCAAGAAATTGAAATATGATGTACAAGAAGTTGAAATATGTTGTATTCATTCTTCATTAAATGATCCCATAATTTTATTTGATTCCATCAAATCAAAAAGATAACAGGAATGGGATAGAATAAATTGAAATGAAATTCAGATGTTCCTATTAATATGAGTGCAAAACAAGAAGGTTTTTTATTCAAATATAATTTTGTCTATTCTTGTCTGTTTGATATTTTAAGCAGTTTGTTTTTTTTTTTTGCAAAGATGGTTATTAACACAGATTTTAATAAAAAATGATATGTCTAAACAAACATATCTGAGCTGATAACAAATGATTTTTTGTAAAAAGGAATGAAATGTAAAGAAGGAAGAAAGGAAAAAAAAATTTCAAGTTGAAAATTGAAAAAAAGAAGATTTAATTTTGTCATCATTTTTATTGAAAAATGAACTTTTATGTCTCTAATAGCTATCAAAAATATTCATTTTTTTTTTTTTTTAAATTCGAATTTCATCATAAAAGAGTGAAGAGTTTTAGTTCGATTTACTCATTGAATTATTGCCTGTCAATTCAATCTATTCATCATTTCGAGACATTCGTAACTTAAATAGAATTTGTTAGCAATGAAAACTGAGTTTGCAAGCACATAAAAATTAACAAATTTTAATGAAAAAGTAAATAAAATGTTTGAAACAAAAATTTCAAACTAACATTATTTGTGGCTTTGGCAACTTTATCAAATAATAAGCAAAGACCAGAAACTTTTTTAGCTTTATAACATCTCAATGTATCATCTGTTTAACTTATAAAAAAAAAATTGATAGTATGCCAGATTAACTCTAAGTATCTTTGTTGCTTTAATCATTTGATTAATATCATTGTGACAGCAGATCTTGATACATAACAATCATATCATTAGAATGATATAAGAACTATTACTCACTTATTTAAGATTGAAGTAACCTTATCAGAAACTAATACAGCATCGAAAAGACATCAAAAAACAAAAAGACATGGTACATCGAAAGGTAATGGATAGAACTTTGCGGTGTCATCGTAATATCATATTTGGTCACTTCTGAGTCCAGGAATAAATTCCGATTCAACTAGTAGATTTGAAATGATCCATTGTTAAATTTGCATAGGCTGATATGCAACAAATAAGAGAGTATGAGAGATGATTATGATTTGGAAAAAATTTGGATTTGATTGTGGCTTTGAATTCACATTCAATTTGTGCTTCAAATCGATGTAATCATATCAATACTGTTATCACAATAGTTATCTGCAACAATCCAATGATTACTGCAAAACGACCTACAGTAAGTTTTTTTTTCTTATGAAAGAAACTATTATCTCCGGAAACCTGATCATGAATAGATTATCAGGCTGGGGAACTGAGGATGACTTAGCAATGATTAAAGTTAAGAAGATATGGCATAATATTGAAAACCGGTCTTATAAATCATGAATTTTGCGATCTCAAACCGCATTATGTCCATTTACTGCAAGTTACTAAAATTAAAAGTAATTAGCAGAAGTAATGTGAAAGCCAACAATTGGAAAGAGCCATATCCAAGTAGTCAATGGAAAGTTCACTTCGAACTTAGCCTTAATTTTGTGTAACAAGCAAGTATATTCCCTTTGAAAAGTTTATTCAATGAATAGGAATGCGGAGATATATGAGAAATTAAAATTCAAGTGCCCCATCCCGCTTTAGAAACAAAACATCACAACTACAAAAACTTTTTCCATCTAATTTATAGTCATTTTAAAATCTGTGACTTGCATATTATGGTGACAATTGAAGAATGAGGAAGGAAAGAATTTATATTAACAATTCATGAATGCAAAAGCCCTATTGTAGCATTCTTTCCTCTGGCCTTGAAAGCTTCAAAATATGCATTTTTCATTTTTATGCATTTCCTCTTAGCGCTTAAATCTTACTTATATTAAAATCTTTCCAATTGATGAGTTCCGTCCTCACTTACGTTTCATTTGAGAAGTTTTCAATCAATAATTGAAAATGGAAAAAGCATAATGGTAGATGAGAAGGAAGAAGGAAAAATAGAAATGATTTTTTTTTTTTATTTTGAACAAAATAGAAGGAATGAAGCCAGAAAGTAAACCTTTTGGCATTCAAAATTTTTTTATTCAATAAAAGAAAGGAATTTTCATTCATTCAACATTTGCCAAATCTTTCGTTAATTCCCTTCCCTTGTGATGCATCACATTGAGATACTTTGTTTTCTTTTTTTCTTTTTGAAAATTAAATTTAAGAATTTTAGAAATAGAGCCATAGTGATTTGAAGTGATAAGGCAAGAATAATAAGGGTGACAATTACAATAAAAATAAAAGCAATCCGATTTTCGAATTAGAGAGGATGTGTGGGTGGTAATGCGTGCATGCGCAATTCATTCCATTGGCTTCATTTAATTCATGCCATTCCAATGTTTCATTCAATCGTCATCTGCAGTAACATCTCTTCAATAAATTGATTTGTCAAACTTTAAAATCAATATTTTGTGGTTTTTATTATTGCACGTTTGTATATCATATTCAAATCTGGCATTATTTTATGATTTCTTTTTTTTTGAAAATGATGCCTAACCTGGTTCAATTTTGTTGTTGTAGATTTTCTTATGCATAGCATTACGAAGCTTTTTGAATCTTCGTGAATCATTCCTTCCAGAATTATGATGTTTACGAGGACGTGCAGTCTTACTTTTCGTACTTTCTTCCGATTTTTGGTTTGTCTATAAATTGACCAGAATGTAGCAATGAAAGAATGTATGATAGCTAGAGTTGATAAGAATAATGCCAAAACGATAGTTTTAAATAGAGTGGGAAGAGTAGATTTCGACTTAGTAAATTAGCAAAGTAAATTAAATTAGCAAATTGGTAAATTAAAAATTAAAAATTCTTCATTACAGAAATTTCTTTCACGAAAATTCATGAAATCATTGAAAAAGGACATCAAAAATAGTATGTATTGTACTTAAGAAAGGATTTAGCAGAAAAACGAAGGACACTCCAACTTAAGATTAGTAGCTCTTAACTGGTCAATTCAGGTAAATCAGTCAAGCTAATGTACCTTGGACTTATCGGATTTTGTTGATTTCGATGCTAATGTTGATCGAATGGACTTTGATGATTCTACATCATTTTCGACCAATTTCGCTTTCAATTTTTCACGAACTTCTTTCTCGTAACTCCGGCTTTCAGTTTTTGCCTTCTTTTCCGATTGTTCGCTGCTTCTCTTCCGTTTGCTGCTATCTTTCCCACCTGTAAAGGTCATTATTTGAAATGAAATTAAGATAAAGTACTGTAATAAAAGTAAAGTATATTCGATCTTGATACTGTAAATGTTCAATTTACTGGTCAAAAATGTTTTAAAATTAAGTAGGTATTGCATAAATGTTTACTTAGTCTTTTCTAGAAGTACCGATAGTTCAATCATTACCAATTATTCCGCCTATTTAAAATAACGATAGTTCAATCATTACCAATTATTCCGCCT